TCGGTTCAGATTTGGATATAGTTCCCATATATAACTTCATCCGATTCACTTTTTATTGTACACCAAACGTCTAATATTTGACCAAATGGGTTGGAATTTGGCACATGCGACCGAATTGAGTCTAGAAGCTAATATGTCAAATTTGGTGAAGATCGGTTCAGATATGGCTATAGCTTCCATATATATTGTTCATCCGATTTGTTGTATTTGTTACCCACAGCCGTAATATGCACTGCGTAACAACGATATTCAGGGAAATATATAAAATACAGCTCAGAAATATCTTTGCCAAATTTTATCGAGATCGGTTCAGATTTGGATATAGCTCTCATATATATTTTTATCCGATTTTAAATTATTTGTGCACCAAATGGGCAGCTCAAGTTCGAATTTAAAAGATACAAATGCTTCGGCATATTTAGTCCTTTGAACTTTAAATTATAATTATAATCATAGGGTGTATGATTGAATTCTCCCATAAAAACGTTTAATTGTTATGCGGAGCTCTACTAAATTAGCAAAGTTGTGTAGGGTATTATAAGGTCGGCCCCCGCCATTAGGACTTTCTTTACTGGTTGTTCTATGAAAATGTCTTTTCTTTTATCTATCCTTTTCTATGCTTATGAAAATGCCAAATGTTTTTTTTTGATTCGAAATTTTTCATAGTACAGAAATTCAGCCCCAGGTATTGAGAGTTTTTCCCGGGTATTTAGAGTATTCAGATATGAAGTGATTTATAGTCTTTAGTAAATATTCAAACTAGTTTTTGTGTTAAAATTAGTGACAAATGAAGTTGACCACAAGCATATAATAGCTGTTCTTAAAAAAAAACAAGAAATACAAAAATAACCTACCAACTAGCTACGAATGTATGTTTGTTTGTATGTACACACTCAACTACCTAACCTACCCCTTAGTTAGTACTAAATGTGCGTACATCTGAGTGGTTGTTGTTGTACTCACTTTTGTACGACACTAAGCGCACATTGGACAAGAAGCAGAGTGGCGCAGTGGAAGCGTGCTGGGCCCATAACCCAGAGGTCCGAGGATCGAAACCTTGCTCTGCTAACCTCGAGTGTTCAAGAGGATTATCAACTTTTTATTTATTTTTTTTTTTAATTTTTTTATTTTAAAGAAAGAAAAAAAAAATAAATGAAAATAAGATGCCATAATGAAAGTAATTTGAAATTTGGTGTTTAGGTGAGAAAGGGTACTAAAAAGTATTAAATAATGTTCACAATGGTATAAGAAGAGAATAGATTTAAAATAGAATAGTAAAATAATAAATGTATAATTATGAAATTTTGCTTGTAACTCGATGTCGATGCATATGGATGAATACATGGCAAAATTAAAGAGGTAATTTCATAATTTTGAAAATTTGATATTGTCAATGAAATATTATAGACTTTTGGAAACTCGAACTTTTGGTAGACCAAAATGTATATATCGGTACCAAAGATTTTAAATTAAACTTTATACTTCTTGGAACATATCACAAAAAATATGTGGTTCCAAAAATAGTTTCAATTGCAAAACGCTGTTTAAGACTATTTTACGTGCCAAATTTAAAACTTGGGAATGAAGATTTGTGAGAAAATGTATGCATTTGTTCAATATTTAAATTTCCTGGCCAAAATTCGGGTACTTTGGAACCCTACACCATATGAATTATCTAGAATAAGGAGTATTATTATATGGAAACTATATTTAAACTGAATACTTTTTAAAGGAGTTAATCTACTCAAGAAGAATCAGAAAAGTTCAATTTCAACTGATTTGGTTGAAAATTGGTGCTAAATGCCGAAAATCAGGAGGTGGCTATACCAAAAAGTGGTCTGAAATTTAATATTTTTTGCGAGGGGTTAAACTACTGACTGAGCACCTGAAATGTCAAATCACATTGGATCTTATTGGATATTGCTTTCGAAATCTTCAAAAAAGCAAACATTAGGTGCTACCATTATATGAAGTCTATACCGAAAAGCGGACCTACATTAAATATTTTCTTCGAGGAGTTAAATTACCCATTGATAAGTCGAAATTTCAAATTACAGCTGATTTGATTGGATATTGGTGGCGAAATTAATAAAAAAAACAGTAAAGAAAGTCTTAAAGTCGGGCGGGGCCGACTTTATGATACCCTACACCACTTTGCTAATTTAGTAGAGCTCCGCATAAAAATAAAAAGTTTTTATGGGAGAATTCATTCATCATAGCGTGTATTATGATTATAATTATAATTTAAAGTTCAAAGGACTAAATATGCCGAAGCATTTGTATCTTTTGAATTCGGATTTGTATTGCCCATTTGGTGCACAATTAATTTTAAATCGGATAAGAATATATATGGGATCTATATTCAAATCGGAACCGATCTCCATAAAATTTCACAAAGATTTTTCTGAGCTGTATTTGATATATTTCCCTGAATATCGTTGTTACGGAGTGCATATTACGGCTGTGGGAAACAAATATAACAAATCGGATGAACAGTATATATGGGAGCTATAGCTATATCTGAACCGATCTTCACCAAATTTGACATACTAGCTTCTAGACTAAATTCGGTCCTAAGTGGCAAATTCCATCCCATTTTGACAAATATTAGACGTTTGGTGCACAATATAAGGTAAATCGGACGAAGTTATGTGTGGAAGATATATCCAAATCTGAACCGATCTCGATAAAATTTGGCACATGTATTTCTGGGCTGTATTTGATATATTTCCCCTAATATTGTTGTAACAGATTGCATATTACGGCTGCGAAGGACAAAAATAACAAATCGGATGAACAATATATATGGGAGCTATAGCTATATCTGAACCGATTTCGATAAAATTTGGCATACTCATTTTCAGGCCTAATTTGGTTGTATGTGCAAAATTTCATACTATTCGGGCTGATATTACACGTTTGGTGCACAATAAAAGGCAAATCGGACGAAGATATATACGGGAGCTATATCTAAATTTTGACCGATTATCTCCAATTTCAATAGGGTTCGTCCTTGGGCCAAACAAATGATTTGTGCAATATTTCATCTGGATAGGGCAATAAATGCGAACTGTACTTTGTTTACAAAAATACATGGACGGACGGACAGACATGCATAAATCGAATGAGAATGTGATTCTATGCAGATCGTCAAAAGGAACTATGAGTCTATCTCGTTTCCTTTTGCCTGTTACAAACAAATGCATAAAGACATAATACCCTGACCACCTTGTAGTGTAGGGTATAATCAGGGCTTACAATTATATGGCGGCTATACTGAAAAGTAGACCTACATTGAATTTTCTTTGCGAGGAGTTAAACTGCTCACTAAGAACCCACTTTGATTATTTTTTTGCGAAAGTGTTTTCATTGGACAGAAAACTTGAAACGTAAAATTTACAACTGATTTGGTAGAAAATTGTGGTCGAAACATTCAATCCCTCCAAAAAAAATGGACCCACATTTTTACAAAGAGTAAATCTAACCAAAGATTACCCGAAATTAAAACCTACCGCTGAGTTGGTTGAACATTTTAGTCGAAATCTTCATAAAAGAGAAATTGGGGGTACCATCACATGGACACTTTATCAAAGTGTGGACCTGCATTGCATTTTTATATCCTCCACCATAGTATGGAGGATATATTAAGTTTGTCATTCCGTTTGTAACACCTCGAAATATACATTTTAGACCCCACAAAAAAGATATATATATTCTTGATCAGCATAAAATTCTATGTCGACTTAGCGATATCCGTCCCGCTGTCCGTCTATCCGTCTGTGGAAATCACTCTAGCTTCCGAACGAAATGAAGTTGATAAAATTTTGCTCAAACGTGCATTATGTCTGCAGGATTTTTGGTATTGAAAATGGTCCATGTAGGTCCACGTTTTGGTATAGCCCCCATACAATGGTTCCTCCCTATTTTCGGTATTTTGGTGATTAAAGTGACATTATTCACAAGCATTGTTTCAAATTTGGTATTTGAAGTTCGTAATGGATACTACAGCCTATGATAGAAAAATGTCTGTGCAGGTCCACGTCTTCATATAGCCCCCATATGTCGGTACCTCCCAATATTCGGTATTTTGATGATTTTCACCGATTTTTTTTCAAGTTTCGCATTTGAATATTGTAGTGGCTTATGGTGAAAGTTGCCTATGCAGGTCCACGGCGTCGTCTTATAGACCCTTATATAACGGACACGTTCGGTATTTTTAAGATTTTAAAAGAATTTTTTTACGGATTTTATTTTTTGACAATTGCCAAATTCGTTCCAAATGGTGAAGGTACAGATTTTTTACTTGTTCTTTCTAAATTTCTAATATACGGATAGATAATAACATGGCTCATTTGAGTCATTATGCTGTGCTAGGGTATAAAATTCGGTTAAATAATTGTGAATAGAAAATTTAATGATTTTTTCTTTAAAATTTTGCGATATAAGGAAGATTTTTGGATAATAAACAACCTTCGCAAAAAATCATCAACATATTACTATGGAATAATATTCATCTGTAGGGACATGTTAGTCCACATTTTCCATTATTTTCACGATAAAAGTTGGAGGTTTAATTCTAAAACACTTCCCTGAGAACTACAACAGCAATCAATCAGCTATGTATATTAAAGGATATGGCTTGTGTGTTACCACGAGTAACATCCAAACTGTTCTATGATGGACAAAATGTCCTCACATAGGCGTTTGGAAAATGATTTACACATTCTAGGTCTGCAATACCGTATAAATTCATTCCAACGCTGTTTCGGTACAGTTCGGTTAATTTATATTGAGCGTAGACAGCTTTTCAATTGCACTCTTGAATCCAAATAAAACATCGATATGTAAACTACCTCAACAACAAAATAACCCCATCTCCTTTTAACTCCATTATCGTCCTCCAATGTAACCAAAACCCATCCAAAAATTAATATATTTTTTTAAAATTATTTCATATATGTTGTATTTTTAAAAAGATAAAACATATACAATGTGAGTAATCTTATTTCTAAAGACATGAAAATTAATAAATTTATTTCATATGTTGTGTTGTGTCTCTTATACAGTTGTTTTTGTTTTTTCTTCGTCTGAATATTTATTATGTTTATATGCTGTGTTGACAATTGGTAAATACATACATATTATGTACTTGATAATGACAAATGATACATAATTACTATTATTATTATTATTATTTGCAATAGGAAATAAATGAAAAACATCATCATTTAAAAAAAAATAATTAATGAAAAGAAAAAAATTAAGATATGGAGCAGTAGTTCTAAGCTATTGGCCTTAATATAGAAGGAAAAAATGAGTACTTAAAGCTTTTTTTCTATTAGAAAAAAAAAAATTATTAAAATAAGATTACGTTTTGTTTGTTTTCGACAATTCCTTTGTCTTGTGTAGCACATTTTCACAAATGGCAAAAGGTTGTTTACAAAACGAAAAAATAGAAAAAAAAGTAAATTTTAAATTGGGTAATGTTTTTTCGTTATCATTATAATTTCTATTGTTAGGGTGATTTTTTTTTTTTAGAATCTATTGCTGCAAACATTAATTGCATGAAAAATTAATAATATTAAGAAATATGTCATAACCTAATGTCATTTAGTTTACAATCTTATTTTGTGAGCGTAATTTTCACGGAGTGGTTTCACAATGTTTTTTTTTTTTTTTTAATTTTCACAACAAATCAAATTGTTAACTACAAAACAATGTATAGAACAAAATATTAGTAAATTGCAAATTGTTTATAACAAAATTTGTAAAGAAAAAAAGTATCCAAAAAAATTATTTATAGAAAAAAATACACTGCGGTTTTTTCCTAGGAGAATGGTAGGCGAATTATATCTGCAAAGAAAAAGAGAGCTTTTAGTTGTTTTGAAAATATCCAATTTAAAATGTCAAATGTGTGGGGAATGAAAAATATCATCTGGTTATTTCCCCAACAAAATGTGAAAAGTATATGGCCGATTTGAAATAGCTGAGACGTATACCGAAATGCATTTGGAAATCATTTAGGGGTTCTCAACTAGCAACAACATTTTTATCCCAAATCCCAAAATTTGCCGAAGTATGCCAAAAAGTGGACCTACATTAAATATTTTTGCAAGGATGTGAGTTGAGGCCACAACTTTCAAAATACCAAAAATTATGATGCACATAACATAGGGCCTTTTTTAAAAAAATGGACCTACAAGAAATATTTTTTGTGAGAAGTAAATCTACTCACTAAAATCCCAAAATTTCAAATTATCGCTGATTTGGATGAAAATTGTAACCAAACGTTTTTAAATGTTCAAACTCAGGAGGTCTAGTTATACATAGGGGACAATCCAAAGAGTTGGACCCCTTCATCGAACATGTTTTGCGAAAAGGTAGACCAATTTTAATAATTTCATCAAAATTGACCCTCTAAATAGAACAATTTAGGAGGTGCAGGTATATGAGAACCGTACCGAAAACCCTCCACAGAAAAACCAAATCGTTATATTGCAGTTACAGTGTGAGATGAAAAAACTGCTTCCAACTTCAGACTGCTGTCATTTCTAAGCCACTCGTCCGACAGCTGTTAAAATTATTCCAGTAACAGCTTATTATATTGTTTACAAGCGTACAAAAGCATTTTGGTGAGAATTTTCCAGAAAAAAGTTATTCGTGATGGAGTTCAAGCGTGATAGTGTGATATTAACAGTTGAATATTAATCGCCAACATATAATTACTTATTTGATGCGATATGGGCTTATTAAAAAAATTGGTTCATGCTCAGATTTGCAATGTGTACGGGACTTGGAAAAAGAGTTATTTTTGAGAAGACTCTCCATCCTCAACGTGTTACTGCTTGGTGCAATTTATGGCCCGACATGACCATTTGAGGTTACTTTTTCGAAAATGGGGTTGGATAAACAGCCACAGTGTACGGATTGTTTGAAGTTGGGTGCTATTGAACTGTGCAACGTTTATTATTAACGAGATGGCGGTACGTGCCACGCAAGCAACGTTCTTTTATGGGCAAATTTTCAGGACCATGTTATCTCTTCAAAAAGTGTTCAGAATTGTCTCTCGTGTTCTTGTAGATTTACACGCGAAAACAAGGTTTGTGCCAACAGCAGTTCGGTTATGCAAAATTTTATGAAAAGAAACTGATCCTGTAAGCTTGCTTTGCTGGTGGTGGGCTTTTTGGAGGACATTGTTTTTCAATATCAACGACAAATATTCCTCTTCATTTCTCTTGAATACCAAAATAACACCTCTTATTGGATACCCATTTGTAGGACTTATTAATTAGCTTGCCAACTCTAGCTAAAAAGGATCTATTGTTAATAACATGTATACTTTAATCTACATTATTTTAACCTTTCGTCATTCTTACCGCAACAATTCCGATACATACAAAGCCATCACCTTTCTTCATTTACATAGCTGAGCTGTCATCATTGCCTATATCACTGCCCAATTCATTTATGATATTATCAACATAATTCTTCTCTGGGGCATCCTCATTTGTTTGCGAGTCTGCAAGAAAATACAAAAAATAAGAATTTTTTCAATTAACGATCCCTTTGGATGAATAGTAATGACATTACCTTCAGTGAATAAATTCAAAGGTATATCAGTCATACATACATCCCCATCTTCTAAAGTTTTCTTAATATTACCATTTGTTGTTGCGGCGCTTTTCGTTTGTGGCGGCACACCTGGTGCTGCATTTGCGCTTTCAAGATTAGCGGCGGCATCATTAAATAATGGCGGCGATAATGATTCATCTGGTTGATTTTTAGCCGAAACAAAACTATCATGAGATTCTGTATTATCCGATGTATTGTTTGAATTGTTGGTTGTTATTTTATTATTGTTATCATTGTCATTCAATTTATTTTCATTTGAATCTGGATTGGGGGTTGTTGCAGTTACCGGTGATACTAGGCCTTTGGCTAATGTTATTGCCTCATCGATTTGTGTAAAAATCGATGATGAAGTATAGGGTACCACGTCATCATCAAATGTGGGTGGTATGACACTGGGGCCCGTGTCGCAAGCTGTGTTTGTGGAACTTGTACGTGATGCCCGTCGTTCGGGCATATCAATAGGTACTGCAATAAAAAAAGTGTTTATATATCGTTTAAATCGAAATAAAAATCCATTGCTTACCAATATATTCACAATCATCATCTTCCTCTTCGTCGTCTTCATCGTCATCATCAATATTTAAACGCCGAAGACCAGTTGGTGGTACTCGTTCATTGGCTCGTTTCAACTGTTCTTTGCGGGGACTTTGTGCTTCCTCGTCTTTCAGAGGGCTAAACGACTTCTTGTGTTCGCGCTTCTTACGTCCCGGACTAAAGGGGGTACTGGCTATGATGTTTTCAGGGCCCAGAAAGAGCGAAGGATCCAACACAATATCATCGACCACACGACCATTTTCCAATTTCTTTAGGCGAGCAGGCAGCGGTGTGGTGGGTACTATCAATGGGGCATTTAATGTACTGGAGCGTCGGCTACTATTTCGGACAGGCGTAGATCCCAAATTGGCGGGTATAGCTGTAGCACAGAAATTCTCATCACGTGAATCATCTGAATCCGAATCAGAGGATGTACCCAATACTTCTACCTCATCGCGGAAGGAGACGGAAAGATTTTTCCTTTTACTCTTGTTGGTAAGTTGATGTCGGGCGCGGGACTTGGAGACAAATGTTTGTGCAATGGGATGATTGCATTTCTTAACACGCACATGACAATTGAACCACTGCTTTCCAAAGGTCTTGATAAGATGAGTGCGTGAAAATTTTGTTGGCGTTGTTGTGGATGATTTGGAATTTTTAATTTTATTATGTTGGGCCACGGTTGAAGATGACAGGGACGAAGATTTCGAAAAGGAAGAGGATGATGAAGACGAGGATGACGATGAATTGGATTTGGATAATTTTGATTTTTTCTCCGTCTTCGATGGTGTGGTTATCTTAATGAAAAAACCAGTTTTTGTTTTAGGCAAAGCCGTGGCATTCGGTTTGCCTTTCTTTGTAGATGGTGAACCATCCTGTTTATTTGCTCCAGTTGGTGTGTGAGCTGTTGACTTTTTAAACTCCTTCATCAGCTTTTTCAAATTATCACGATGTATTCGTACCACACATCGCTTAACTTTTAGCTTCTTCTTAGATTTCTTCTGTCCAATAGATGGTTCGAAAAGTTTTTGTTGTGCCTTTGTGGGTGTTTTCTTTTTGAGTTCTTCCGTTTTAACTGGAGAACCAAGATTATCGCCCTTAACTGGTGAGTAATCTTCAAGTTTCGTTCTTTCCAATTTAACTTTGAGCTGTTTTGCAAAGGCCGGCGGAATACTTTTGGGTGGTGACAAGCTGCGAGATTTGTTGGCCTTCTTCTTAGTGGCATTTAACGGCGGTATGGGTGAAGGCAAGGATTCACGTCGTCGTTGATTTCCAGCAATGTCCTCTGTTTTATGCTGTTTATTGAATTTCTCTACATTCTTTTCATGATTTCCGCTGCTGGTCTTACTCTTGTTTTCACTTTCCTTACTAGTTACATCCACCTTAGATTTCTTCTTTGGCGGACTATCATTATCGTCTGGGCCATGTGAATTCTCTTTGCCATTTTTGAGCGGTCCATTGTCGTGTTTTGTTTTGCCATCGTGGCTTTTCTTTTTACCCTCCTTCTCTTCCTTATGATGCTTGCTTGTCGTCTTCTCGGGGCTTGAAGACTTAGATTTGTCATGTAGGGAATTTTTCTTACTGGGTGTCTCCTCGCTTTTTTCATGACTATGCTTGTGCTTTTCTTTCTTCTTTTCAAAAGAAGAGTTATGCTTATCCACAGAATCCTTGCTGTCGTGTTTCAATGAATTATTCTTTTTTGGAGTTTCAACATTCTTGTTGCTATCGGAGTGGTTTTTCTTCTTTTCCTCTTTATCCTTTTTATGTTCCTTGGCCACTGCACCGGCAGTCTTTAATTGATCAAAGAGATCCATAGTGTAGCCGCCACAGTAGTGTAACAACAATGCCTTCAAAAAGGTGGCGCTGCAGATCAAGCGCTTGTTAAGTTTTAAGAAAATAACCTTCAAATAAAATGAATTCAGAATTACTTGTTAAACTGTACGGCAAGGGCTGCAATAAGATTCCCAATTACCTGCTGATGCTGCTGTTTCTTCTTCTTCTCCCCACCAAAACTGCCTTTGCCTTCGAGGAATCAACGCCAACGCCAAGTGCAGCGAAATAACAAAACTCTACAAGGAACACATGTTTTGCTCCAAATTACAACCACACTTTACAACCTATGCCAATGCGGCTCAACTTTTCTAGATCCTTAGTTCGGGTTTCTTCTACACTGTTTCCTTGTCTGCCCTAGGTCGGACGTCGATCGCTATTTCCTTTGCCACCAAAAAAAACTCAACTAGAAAATTTTTGTGGCACTCTATTCATTTCTGCTTATTCGTGTTTTAGCTTTGCATTTTGGAGCGTTTCTTCCTGTTACGTTTTACTTAACCATGGGCTGATGAGAAGCAGAACATTGAGTGCAAAGAATATGAATATTCTACCTTTTTCGTAATTATTTTATTTAAATCTTATTACAAAATTATTACAACGATTTAAAGACGCCGACAAAATTTGCAAAATTGCTTCTAATTAATTCGCCGTATTTTGTTTCAGCTTCTGCTTTGTTTCTTATTTTCGCTTTATTTGTAATGTTGGCAATGCAACTCTGTTAATGTGAGAGACTGCAGCACAGCACAGTTGTATAAAAAAGGGAGTATAGGCTTTCAAGAATGTTTACATGTGCGTTATTATTTCTGTCGAAGAAATTTGTTGTTTCTGGTTTTATTCACTTCTTTACAAATTATAATTATCTTGTTTTGAATTCTTTCCAAAAAAAATGACATTCAAAATCTGAAAAAGTCCGAGAAAGAATTCATCAAAAAAATTAAGAAATTTTTTCTTTGGGAAAATTCATGCAAATGTTATTTTACATACTATGAAAAAATAAATTTCTTCAATTTTGATTACTTTCCGAGGAAAACTTTCTTAAGTCCGATACAGGTGTATTTTTTGTTAGCCCTACTTTCATAATCAGCTGTATATTCCCCGTAATCATTAAAAACAAAATTAATTTTGTCGCATACGTAAATCGTTTTCATTAATCCATTGGATATTAACCGACGTATACGCTATGGACATGGTAAAATTAAGAAGGTAAAGTCATTTCAAATAAGCATATCCATCTTTGCATTTTCTGTAATTTACCTAGTCAAAAGTCACTGCATAGAAAACAGGTTCCCATCTCTGATTTTTATATATACAATGAAATCATGGCAGAAGAATACAGGTAGATGCATCAATACTTAAGAGCATTGATACGTCAAAAAAAAAAAAATTGATGTTTTTTCCAAGTATAAATAGATTTTTATATGTTTTCTTATTCGATGTCATTCGCAGGTTATTATAATTCGCGTTTTTCAACAATTTTTACAAATTTAAATAATTTTTCATTCAACATTTTCAATTACAAAATTGGTTTGACAGTTCATTGTCCCAGCAGTTGTCTCAATGCGTCTACCTATACTCTTCTACCATGAATGGAATTGTAAATCTAAATTTTGACAATCAGATGTCAAATGAATAATTTTGACAAAAAAATTGTAAACATACGATTGCAAGACATTCCTTCTTAATTCTACCATGGCTATAGATTTGAGATCGAGTGAATTTAGTGAATCTGAGAACCTGCAAAAGTCTACTAGTTTTGCAATTGTTTCGGATATCATAAAGGGAAAATCGGTTATCGTTTAAAAAAATTGTTACATTCTGGAAGTTCTGGAACAGGTCATTTGTTGGTGCTGAGAAATAAACATGGTAGAAGAACACAGGTAGATGCATCAACGAATTTCGACGACTTCCTGGACATTTTTTAAGGGAATTATCTGGAAATTTGTATTTAAAGTTTATAACGTGTTCCTAACCCTTGCAAAAAAGTAACTATATAAGTCCACACAGTGGTATATTTCCTAACGGTGCCATCTCATTTTAAGCATTTCAAAGACATTCGGCACATTTTTCAATGCGATTGTCTGAAATATTGTACTTGAAGTTTCTAATGCCTTAGAAAAATTGTTCATATAGTCCTCATTTTGACTTTGTATATATCATGCTGGAGGGTATCAAGATATCGGCCCGGCGTAGTTCCCCCAAGAGAATAACATTTGAATAAACGAATTTCTTCAAACTTCTCCAACTCAGTATCCTCTGTACTTGTTTTCAAATTATTAATTTTTGTCAATTCAAAAATATTTATTAATTTAAAAAACGCACATTGAGTTTGTGTTTTTCTTTCTCATTCTCTTTTGATTCTGTCAAACGGTCGTAAATATATGTTTGAATTACAATTATGCTATTTGCGATCAATTGAATTATATCTATTTTAAATAATTAATTTTGAAACCGAATTTCAACATCCTCGATAGTATAGTGGTTAGTATCCCCGCCTGTCACGCGGGAGACCGGGGTTCAATTCCCCGTCGGGGAGATCATAATTTTTTTTGCTATGTTCAGCGGCGACAAATTTTTAATGTCTCCGTTATGAGAAAAAAATTTGAATTATTTACCTAGCCGCAAGATAACATTGATTAAAGCTATGTGGTCAAAAATAGTTGTGATAAGGCGACTGAATACTTTTTTGAAAAAAGAGGAAAGTAAGATCTTTTGCTTTGGGTTTTTTAACATAAACCCATTATTTTCCATCCATACTTTCCAGAAAAGCGTGTTTTTTACTTTACCTTTTAACAAGCTATTCGGCTCAGAAATGTACCGCCCGGCATCTCACGAAGTGTCTGTCTGCATTGCCTAGAATGGAATATGCAACAATAAACTGATATAGTAAATACAACGGACATCTCTGAAGCTTTGTTACAATACCTGCAAAAATCGACTAGTTTTAGTATTCATTCAATTTTTTCTCAATTTTTTTAATCAATTTTTTATCAATTTTTTTATCAATTTACAATATTTGTAAATAAGTATTTTTATGGGATCACACATTATATCGACACGAATAAATGCAACATCGATTTAAATGAAAAAAGTCCTCCAATTTATGAATGTTCGAATACAAAACATATTTTTTAGGAGAATATTTTAATCTCAAGCTAAAAAATAAAAAGTTATTATCATAAGACTTTTTTTCTTTTATATTAATTTTAACGGCCATAAGTTTCGACATCACAACAGACACTCCACAAAAATACAACCCTTTGCCATTAAGTCGCTTTATGAAAACTTCATGTGCAAAGGAATGTCAGAAAACTTTTGACACACGCGAAGAGAGCTATAATTATAACGTACGAGAGAGTGGGTGAGTGTGTTTTTGTGCGGAAGAAAAGTGTCGACCGAAAAGAAAATTCACAAATTAAAAACAAATACAAGTGCATACAAAAAACCCTTTTAACTGTGCTAAAATTCAACAACAAAGTGTTTTCGTTCAAGTCAATTAACAATTCGTGGTGTTCGACTCGAAGTTAAGTGTTCAAGTTTTCATTCAAAATTCATAAATACAAACAGGCAGTGTTGTTAGCCAGAGTGTGTGCTTCAAACGAAAGCGAAATTATAGGTGAGTTCCCAATGCGCTCTCCCAGAGAAGTAAAGCAAAAAAACACAAAAACAACAACCTACAAACAAACAACAATTTTTGAAGAGAGAGTGAGTGAGAAAATTGTTAACAAAAGCGCAAACAAAAATAAACACACAAACCACAGCCAAGTGAAACTAAAATTTGCAAAAAAAGGCGCACTAATAGTTTTTTTATTTTCAGTTTTGTTTGCCGAAAATATTTTAACAATTTAGTGAAATTATTATATTAACATAATTGTATCAAAAGAGAAGGGCAAAGAAAACATCATCAAGTGCTGTTCGAATGGGTTCTCTTGTGGGAGGCGGCAGCAGCAATAATGAGTTTTAATCATGACAAGACGTGTTTGTTTAACTCACATTTTATTGCTGATTACCCTTTTGATTGCTGCATTGATAAGAAAGAAGATAAGTAATTTGTTGAAATAAAACGAATCTTCTTGATACGCCATATTAGAATAATAATTTTAGAGAACTCTGCTGTAATCAGCTATATAAAATGTCTCTCGACTTTTTGCAACACAAATAACCGGCATTAAAAACCTGTAAAGTGTTGACAACAACAGTAATGCAATTATTGAATTTGTAAATATGTATTAAGAGATAAGTATGTAGGTATATTTGTTTCTAATAGTCTAATCAAACATTTGTCAATTTTGTAGGCATTCCTTAAGGGTATTAAATCTTGTCCGTGTTCATACTTTCATTGGAAGAGGGTAAATTTAAGGGACCAAATCAAACCCCTGAGGCCCTTTTTGGGGCTATACTAATAGTTAATTCAGTCCCCTCACGGTAGATTTTGTAACAATTAGCTCGCAAGGGCTTGTATACATCTATATAATAATTGTCCTGCAGAATTACATACATTCTCACCGTTGTTGGTAATAAGTGCATCATTATGAAACACTTGTGCTAATTTCGACAATATAATTATTTTTTTGAGGAAGTCCATATTTCTAAATAAAGAGGATCTTTATTAGAGAATTGAAGTCTATGTGAACGACCTCCCATCGGCCAGAAATTTAATATTATTACTTATGATATATTGCAATGACCAAGTATTCTTCTGAAAACTGAATTTAGGGATTACCAACACCAGCTACATGACGAAAACTTTTTAAAAAAAAAAACATAATTCTTAGTGGTTGGTGAATTATGGAATTTTTAATCCTTAAGAGTTCAACATAAAAAATACGGAATTGTGGAAGTTGGTCTTCACGAGAAAACTTGTCTTACACACATTTTGGGGAGTCCAAATATAATGCATTAGTAGCCCATATAATGTATTGGTAGACATCAGTATGAACCGTATGAGTATGGTATGAAGCTTGATTTGAGGAATACGAGCTAATTATATTGTCTTTTGTGGAACAACCACCATATCTGGATATCTGATGATCTGTACTTTACTATTTTTAAAATCAGCTTTTGTAAATTAGCTGCATTTGGGGAAAATCTTAAAATTTCGAACGGCCCAATCAACCGGATTTAATGTTTTGGCTCACAAATCGTCGTGTAATTGATATTGAAATTTGTCTAAAAGGTGAGAACTTTCCAAGTCCACATATTTCACTAAAAAAGCCATATATACTCATGGACCTGAAATGGAAACGGATCTTTTGCGACAGCCTCTGCATTTACAATTGGTAACAGCACTCTCAGGTCAGTTCATAAGTTTGAAAGAGAATTACTACTGAAGGAACGTCTAACAGAAAAGGCTAGATGAGGTCCTAACTTGAAGTATAACTCGTGGTGGGTATTATAAGAGTTTATTGCTATATTAGAGTCTTGGTTTTCAAAAAGGGGATGCGTATGCAAGACTTACACTAATGGTGGGAGAGCAAAGAATTTATATTTGAACTTCTCAGAGACGGAACCAGCGATTATGTCGAATCGATTGGAAAAAATCATCAGGATCCTCTAATTAACTAAAATCAGAAGGCACAAACACAAGGTCAAGGACCTAAATTGATAATTTTTTTTTTGGTAAAAGCGTTTCTACTAATAAAAACCCAAAATAACAAAATTTGGCTGAAATAAGTGGAAAATATTGGAGGAAGATGACATTTGGAAACTGATTGCTGGGTAGTTATGGGCATCTGGGCGGTAATCTCGAAAAAAGTTCTCTTCTAGTACTAAGTAGGTCTGATCTAAGAATCCCGGTAGGCAGACTGACTGGCAACCGCAGTAACATATCTGAACTCAAGATGCCAAAACAGTGTTCTTGACTAATGTGTTAATATGAAGAAGAGATAGAGACGACTGAATGCTATGCAGATGTGCCATGAAACAAAAGACATATGCTATTTTGCAGGTGGGAGATGGAAGCTATGACGACATGGATACCATCATCATGAACAAGTTGGCTAAAAACGTTCCCTGGCTAAGAAGACCACTATGCTAACTATTCTTCTCTCTATGAACCGCTTTTTTGAAGTTCGCAATGTATACTACAACCTATTTATTTTTATGATTCGTGCGACATTATTTAACGGAATTGTTTCAAATTAGGTATTTGAAGTTCGTAACGGATGCTACAGCCTATGTCAGAAAATTGTCTGTGCAGGTGCACGTCTTTGTATAGCCCCCATATAACGGTACCTCCCGATATTCGGTATTTTAATGATTTTAGCGACATTATTCACTGGAATTGTTTGAAATTTGGCATTTGAAGTTCGTAACGGATGCTATGATAGAGAATTGTCTGATCTGGTCCACATTTTGGTATAGCCCTCATATAATAGTTCCACCCAAACTGATGATTTTAGCTACATTAATGACCGATTTTTTTCAAGTTTCGCATTTGAATATTTTTGATGGCTTATGACGGTTATATTTGGTATTTGTAAGATTTTAACAGAATTTTTATCGGATTTTTTTTTTTGAAAATTGCTAAATTCTTTCCAAATGGTGGAGGGTATTCAAAGTTCGGCCCGGTCGAACTTACAGCTTTTTTACTTGTTTCATCTTAGGATGAACACAATGGACCAAAGATCTCGGAGCTGTTAATATAGCGCCAATATAATTGTACCTTCCCCTGGCTTGAAATTCGATATTTAGAATACATTGTGGATTCTATATCCTGCTGCAGAACACTTTTCATATGGGTCCACATTTTACTATAGCCTCCATAAAAAGTTACTTCCAAATATTCGGTATTTTGTCGATTTAGGACAAATATTCTAACGAAATTACTTTAAATTCAGTTTATGGATGCCGTAATGGTTGCTTATATTGAACAATTTTTCTCTAGTCCCTATCCTCCGGATATTCGGTATTCTAATGACTGAAGCCAACTTTTTTACAGAATTGTTTGGAATTTGTTTAGGATATTCTTAATAACAAAAGTGGCTCATACCCCTCGAATACTGGAATTTCGGCATTTACAGACATATTTTTACATGTGTTACTTTCCAAGTTGTGGAGGTTATAATCATTTCGGCCTGGAACTTGTTACTTGTTTCAAATAAATCAACTCACTATTTTTCCGCATCCGGAATAATTACAAAAATTATTTATTATATTTAGAAATTTAGCTAAGTGTATATACATATCGAACATATCATTATTTTCCGCCTATGACGAACAACTGCCAGCCGCCTTAGCAGAAATATATGTTACAATACCATCCTTCGCAACGGTACTGGAATTATTTGTGTTGGTAGCGGCATTTTGTGAATTGGTTGTTGATGACGATTTTTTCTTTTTCAATTTAGTTTTGACCTTGCGAACCAGTGTTGTGGCTGTGGAAGCTAATACTAAAGCACCTCCGCTACTAGTTGATGGCCGAATCTCAGAAGTAACCTCCTGTATGTTATTTAATTTGTGAGCTTTTGATTTTTTAGCTTTATTCTTGGTATTGCTGGTCTGAACAGCTGTGGCCACAATGCCGCCAGTTTTAAATTTACTAGGATTACGTGTGTGAATTCTGTTGTGTTGCTGCCCTCCAACACCATTGGGATTACCACCACCGGTGGTGTTGGTTTGTTTATTGACCGTACTGCGATATGTCCCCACTGCCATTGTGCTGCGTGATTTATTTTTGCTAATTTTCGTCAGGAATGTTGTTGTCTCCGCAACTTTGGTAATGATGTTTCTGCAAAGAAGGTATTAGTGATTAAGATTTTTTGAAATATAGTTTGTGTTTTATTTCTAAAATACCTTTTTTGTTTTGTTTTCGTTTCAGTGTCGCTTTTGGGTTTCGTTGGCTTTTTCATATTGGCCAAGTGCTTAAATATTCTCATGGTATGATCCTCGTTTAGTTCCGGCATCATAAGACTCATAGGCAATTTGCTGTTTTGACTATCCCTTGGCGTTTCCTCTTCATTGGAATTTATACTCTGCCATTCCAATAGTTTTTGACTACAGGCCCTGGAAGCAATGCCAAAACATAACATATACATACGTAACGATAATATTCTCACGTCTTTAGAATGTTTTTTTTTCGTTAATGTCCTAAAAACTTACGTTAAAAACGCTTCATTCTCCAGACGCAGTACATTCCTAGCACAATCTGCCCTTTTATGATCAACAGATTTTTTGGTGGGCGTTTTGAGCGGAGGTGGAGGTACCCATGTCAACGGTCTGCTACGATCCAGGCCATAGGGTCCATCCTCCGGTTGTATGCCAGTCCATATTTTCTTTTTCAAAGACAATTTTATTTCCAAGTCCTCCTTACTCAGTGCCTCCTTTTTGGCCATTGATCTGTAAAATGGCAATTGTTTGTCAAAAAACTCCAACATTTGAAAAAAAAAATACAAGAATTTTGAATTTTATTATTCTTTTTAATTTTCAAAACTCACTTTGTTTTGAATACTGGTTTCGGTGTGGTCACAGCCGGTGATTGTTGTCTTCGTGTGACATTCATTGAATACCATTGCGGTGTAATGGGTGTCTGTGGGGCAGTATTTAAATTGTGCCAGGAACTTGTACGTCTTGCTGGTTCACCAATCATGGGCAGCTCGGCAGATTTTGGTGGTGCCACATATTTCTTGGTCGTCGTTGACGGTTTAAGTAGAACCTTTATGGGCGGATGTTTGGTTTTGTTTGAGGGCGATGTTATAATCAATTCTGGAGGCATATTTCTCAAACCATCTCCAATCTCTTCAATGTAACGTCGTTGTAGTTCACTTTGCAGTAGACCTCGTCGTATGTGACGCGGTATTGTGCCATAACATTGTTGCACACCGTTCGAGTCCATAACATATTCATCATCGGTAGAGAAGACCAAATCGGAACCAGGATCGGTGGTGGGTAAATCGAGTAGCAGGCGTTCTTCTTTCTTGCGACGATGTAAGGATTTGCAACGCATTTTTGCTTTGTGGGGCTGTATGGAGGATGAAAAAATAAAGGGATAGTAAAATTAAAGGGACTATTAGGATTTAGTTTTATAGTTTCATGAGACCAGCATTAAAGCCTCTTGTACCAAAGACATAGAAATATAAAAATAGGACATTTTAGAGTAAAAATATTGACACCAGGAGGACTTTCTCACAAAGCTCGAATTTATAGCAGGGGGCGGAAAACCCTCCTAGCGTGTGGCACAGACCCACATAACACGCTGTACTTCTTTAACAGAGCTAAACCTACTCACCTAACTCCCGCATCGTTATGGTCCCAATCAGGTCCCTTTTTTATACTCTCCAGCATTCTAGGGAGGGTATATTAGCTTTGTCATTCCGTTCGTAAATCCTTGAAATAATTAGAATATACCCTACAAAGTATGCATATTCTAGATCAGCGTAAACTTCTAAGACTATATAGCGATGTCCGTCTGTCTGTTTGTTGTAATCAAGTTATCTTTCGAACGAATTGAGATAGAAGGTTAAAATTTTGCATACATGCATAGTTTACCAGTAGGCAGGTTAAGTTCGTAAATGGGCCATATCGGTCCACGTCTTCGTATAGCCCCCATGTAACTGTACCCCCAATAGTCGGTATTTTGTTAATTTCAAAAATTTCGTATTGGAAGATCTTGATGGGTACTACAACCTATGGCAAAAAATTTCCTACTCACGTCCGCGTATTCGTGTAGCCACCATATAAAGGGATACGGTACCTCCTGATATTCGGTATTTTGATGATTTTAGTAACATTATTCACCGGAATCGTTTCAAATTTCGTATTGGAAGCTCTTGATGGGTACTAGAACCTATGGCAAAAAATTTCGTATGCAAGTCCACGTCTTCGTATATGCCCTACATAACGGTACCTTCCGATATTTCATATTTTAGTGAGTTTAGCGACATTATTTACCGGAATTATTTCAAATTTCGTATTAGAAGATCTTAAAGGGTACTACAACCTATGGCAAAAAAAAAAAAAATCGTATGCTGGTCCACGTCTTCGTATATGCCATACATAACGTTACCTTCCGATATTTCATATTGTAATGATTTTAGCGACATTATTTACCGGAATTATTTCAAATTTTTTATTTGAAGTTCGCAATGGGTACTACAGCCTATGACAAAAAATTTTGCATGCAGGTCCGCGTCTTCGTATAGCCCCCAAATAACGGTACGGTAATGATTTTTGGACTGTTTCCAATTTCGTATTTGTTCGTAATGGGTACTACAGCATATGACAAACAATTTCGTAAGCAGGTCCACGTCTTGGTAAAGTCCCCATATAACGGGTTTCAATTAAGTTGTATTTTTCGGATTTTTTTTGAAAATTTTCTAATTCCTTCCCAATGGTGGAGGGTATTTAAAGATCGGCCCGCCCGAATTTAGTTGCTTTTTACTTGTTGAACTTAAGTTAGAAGGAGAGCGAGATTAAAGAAGATAAAATCAGTATGAACATAGCCGCAAGAGCTCTCTTGTTACGATGTCGATGATAGGCATGTTAAGCAGTTTTAAAAGCTAACTCAAATTTCGACTAATTAAAAAAGTTCATGGAATATAATTTTGAGTCAACATTTTTGGTCTACTGAAATTTTTATCTGTCATGCTGGTCTAAATATTTTTCTCATAAACTTTTTTAAACGAATATTTTGTAGTCTTTACAGTTTTGTTTTTTTAAAGGAATTCAAAATTTTCTATAATAGACGATAGAAAACTGGGTAATATTCTCAAACTAGAGAACCATAAAAATGTTCCTTACAAAAATTTGCAGTAAAATAGTAACTCCTTCGAGCCGGATTTGAACCAGCGACCTATGGATGTCTATGTTTATCGCTCACAACGTTCTCTACAGTCCACCGCTCTACCAACTGAGCTATCGAAGGTTATGCCACCTCCGTTGTGCTAAAATCACACAATGCTGCCACGATTTGTTTTTTTTTTTTCGTTTTGGGTCTTAAAAATCTGTTGGCTTATCAAAAATTTTAAAACTGATAAGGACAGTTTCAAAATTAGCAAAAGAAGTGGTCCGATCTCTACCATCTTTATAACAGATCTTGGAGTGGACCGATATATTCCGTCTTATTACCAGATATTGGGTGCATAAAAATAGTAGGGTGTGTAAAATATGAAGACAATCGGACTCTTACATCATATTTTTTAAGAGTTATAATTATTCAAAATGTTGACCTTTGTGGGAGAGGCACTTGATGGAGTTGACCAATACTATCCATTTTGACACGAGTCCTAGAATTGACGCAAATATTAGGATTTGTAAAATTAGAGCAAAATTAAATTATTGCTTCCCTTTGTGCAGAAAATATGCAAATTTCGACCATTTGTGGGCGAGGTACCAGAAGGAGTGGGCCGATTTTGCACATCTTAACGCCAGACCTTAGGTTAATATAAATATTGGAATGTGTGAAATTTGAAGACAATCGGACTCTTACATCACATTTTATGAGCGTTGTAATTATTCAAAATTTAGACCATTTGTGGGGGATGTACTTGATGGATGGAGTGGACCGATATTGTCGATTTTCACACCTGACCTAGCACTGACGCAAATATTAGGATATGCAAAGTTGGAGCAAAATCGTATTATCCTTTCACTTTTTGTGCAAAAAATATATTTTTTGAAAATTTCGACATTTTGTGTTCGAGGTACCAGAAGGAGTGGACCGATTTTGCACATCTTAACACCAGACCTTGGTTTAATATAAATATTGGGATGTGTGAAATTTGAAGACAATCGGACTCTTACATCACATTTTATGAGAGTTGTAATTATTCAAAATTTTGACCATTTGTGGGGGAGTTACTTGATGGAGTGGACCGATATTGTCCTTTTTCACATCACAAATATTAGGATTTGCAAAGTTGGAGCAAAATCGGATTATCCCTTCTCTTTCTGTGCAAAAAATATATTTTTTGCAAATTTCGACCTTTTGTGGGGGAGGTACCAGAAGGAGTGGACCGATATGGCCCATTTCCGAACTCGATCTAAGTTTGACAAAAATATTACTGGGTACAGTTTGGACCAAATCGGATACTCACTTCGAGAATTATCGTGCGCACCAGTTAACCAGGCAGACAGACGGACGGACATCGCTAGATCGACACCAAATGTTCTGAAACGGATTTGGTCCAAAGAGACCTATGGTCTAAAACCGTTATTTCGACTAGGCACGTTTTGACCGTATCTAATTTTATATTACCTCTGTAGCCATATGGCTGAGGGTATAATGATCGTGTTTACTTGCCAAAAAGGTCAGCTGAAAATGTGCACCTTCGGTTGGCCACCAGAACTCAAGCGGCGGCCATGTTGATGGTGTGGGCCGCCATAACAGCTGATGGTCGCTCTCCTCTCGTATTAATCGACCGTGGCATCAGAATAAATGCCGAAAATATTCTGGAGGGTGTATTAAAGCCTTGGGCACGCAAACTTTTTGTCCGCAGACATTCCAACAGGACTCAGTACGCCCCGCCCCAGAATGGTTACTAAATGAGGTTCCTCGCTTCATTTCCAGCGCAGAGTGGGCACCAAAATCTCCGGATACCAATCCGTTGGACTAATGTGTCTGGAGTATTTTGGAAAGCAAGGTTGGCACTAAAAATACCAAAGTGTCGATCACCGCATGCAAGCGCTTCGCCGGGAACGGGCCAAAGTACCACAAAGCAACATTTGGACAGCGTGTGACGGTTTCATTGGCCGTTTGAAGACCATAATTCGTGTCAAAGGTGACTAATTCGACCAAACCTAAACTTATTCTAAAATTTGATGCTATTTCCGATATTTTTTGCTTTCATTCAATAAAATTAAAAAAATGTGAAGATTATTGCCTTTGACTTTGTTGCAGTTTTTGTTATCTGTAGTTATTTGAAATGAGGTTATCTTGAATTAATTGCACTATTGTCCATGTAGCCTTCAAAAATTATTAATTATGTTCATTATCTTTTGATTTTCAATAACATATAGCTTCTGGTGAAGTTGGAATAAAACCAATGAAACGTTGAGTAAAATATGAAATATCTTTACACATCGTTTAAATTCGTTTGTCCAATCAGGTTACGATTAAAAACGTCGAAATAGTTTAAAATTCATAATGGAAGGAAAAAATATCCTAATAAAAAAATAACTCCTTCGAGCCGGATTTGAACCAGCGACCTATGGATTTCTACTTTCAGATTCTTCTACAGTCCACCGCTCTACCAACTGAGCTATCGAAGGTTATGTTGCTACGGCGATAAAATAAACATGTGTTCAGTGGTTATATTTAACATTTGTACTAAAAACCATAAATTAGTACCTCTTAGTTTCTTGGAGGTGAATTTTAATTATCACCATAATTTCAAACTACAAATGTGGGAAATATTACCGCTTGGGTGTGGTGAATTGCAGAATAAGTGTTGCTCCACATAAGTATTTGCTGCAGCAACTGCTGTATATTTGCCCACATCTCGTTATAACCTTCGATAGCTCAGTTGGTAGAGCGGTGGACTGTAGAGAGCGCTGCGAGCGATACACATAGATATCCATAGGTCGCTGGTTCAAATCCGGCTCGAAGGAGTAACTTTTTGTTTATATTTTTTTTGAAATTAAATTTAATAAAATAGCGAAATAACATTTTTTTCAATATTATTATGAAAGTACTATAAATTTGAATGCTTATGATGAGTAGTGGGATTCATTGAAAATGGAAATGTTCCTGATCAATAGGTCTTAGCAACAACTTTATTTTCGTTGCTAACCTACTGAAAAACTTCGTTAATCGTCGAAACTATTAACTTTGTAAAAATGATTTTTATCGGTAAAATATTCGATTTTAATAAAAATTGAGAAAAATATCTAGTGCTTGAAATTTCAAACTTGGATTTCTGTTCAAAAATTATAAATTTCATATTAAGTTTGTATAGTAAAAATAAATAGATTTTTGTTGTTAATTTTATTTTTCTACTATTAGTCTTATCTGAAATTTGCGTT